AGGATTCAAAGCCTGTTTGTTTTAACTTATTTTATAAAAAAATTACTTTTTTTAAATTCTATTTTGTAAGTTTTTATGATATCTATTTAAACTTTTAAAAATAATCCAAATTTAAAAAAATATATTTTTAATTATTTTAAGAAGTTACTTTGAGTAGCTTTTAAAAATAATCTAATGCACTAAACGGGGAGAGTATTTTATAGAGGCCAGATACGCGAATATATCATAAAATTTTAAAATAATATAATAATAAGTTATTTTTATAAAACAAAAATCAAAGAGGATATCATAAAATTTAAAAATAATGAACTAATAATCACTTTTTACTATTATAACCAAATATAAAATAATATTTACTTTTTATAAAATCTCTACAAAATAATTTTTTTTAAAATTAAATCAAAATAAATTGCAGGATCTAATTTAAAATTGAGTGAAATTGCAATGACTTACAAATATATTTTTTCTTTTTAATATAAAATATTTTATAAAACTTGATGAAGTATTAATGAGTTATTTTCAAAGATCCTTAGGTATCCAATTGGTTTATTTAGATGGCATGTTTGATTTTAATATTTTTAATTAAAAGACAATTTGGGATTTCAATAAAAAAATTTGAAAAAATCAATACCCTTCAATAATTTTAACTAACTTTATGAATTTACATAATTTGATTTAAAGTATCTTATAAATAGTACATGTGCTTTATTAAAAGGAAAAATTATATTCAGGTCCCACAAAAAGAAGTTTATTATTGAAATGTTTCATAAATTTTATAAAATACTCTCAAGTCCTAAATCCTACATATTGACAACTTGACTAAGGATATTAATAATTGAACAATAATCATTGACAACTTGCTTGTCATTTTCCTTTACAAGTTGTATATGGCTGTTGTCAATTGTCAATACCCTTACAGTGTGTTTGGTTTAAGCCTATTGCATCTATGCAATGGTAATGTTTTCCCCCATTACCATGCTGAGCCTGTATGGTTGGGCTTAAACATTGTAAAACACATTACACATGTAAGGACTTTTGCATCCTTTCATGGTAATGGTTATTCCTGAGGGGGGACCTGTGAATGATGATTGTGCACATGCAATATTTTATAAAATTACAATTTTATCTTTAATAACTTATGTGAAAAGACAAGACTTGCCCCAAGAAATTTTACTATCTCTTCCTAAAGCCCTAGCATGCCATATCTGTAGAATTGCCACCCACGAATTCACATACAGAGAGTGACAGTATCATCACCGGTGAGTTAAGTCTTATTTTAGTTTCCTTCAACTACTTCCCTTCATTCTCTTATGTATTATCTTCAATTTTTTGAAAGGACGAATTCTTGTTGAACTTGGCTATACTTCCTCCATCTTTGAAATCGATTTGCGTGAAAATTTTTTGAGTGGAATTTTACCTCCATCCATCTGAAATATGTGTGATAGGCTTATTCTCTCAAGCTCTATGGAAATTTGCTTTCCAATTCTATTCCACAAATAGCATTGTTGAATTGTACTTGCGATAGTTTGTGATTTCTTGATTTGGGCAAGAACAACATTTATGGCAATTTCCCAGACTTCATCACTCATTTTGGTGGGTTGAAATAGCTTGACTTAGGGAATGATATGTTTTTGAGTTCTCTTTGTTTTGTTGTTTGTTGCTATTTTTCTTTCTTACAGCAACCCATATTCCTTTTGTTGTTTGTTTGTTCTTGTTTCTTACGGCAACTTTTATATCATCAATTGCTACCTTCTACGGCAACCCATATTCAAGTCTCATGAATTGCACCTGATTATCTCATTGATCCTATTGTTTTTAATTATTTGCATCTTTTTTATTTGATGGTTTAATATCTAATAACCTCCAAACTTGTATTTTTAATAAAGTGTGTGCTTGTATTTTTAATTAGATCTTGAATTGCTACTCTAGCACCTCTTTCTTAGTATCTTATTTCTTTGTTTGTGAGCTAGTAAGAGTTATTTCTCAAAAAGTGACAATGCTTCACCTATATATTTAAATTTAAATAAATGATAGTAAATGAGAGCACCTTGTAATGGCATCTATCTGTTAGCAATATTTTTTCAAGATTTGATCTTAAGTGATCAGGAATCATTATTTATGACAATCCCATTTGTTATTTAGCTTCTATTTTATTCTCTTCAAGTTGTGGGTCTATGAGAGTGTGTAATTTTGCTATATGTATGTTATTTGTTTGATTTTAAATCCTATATGGGTAGTTAGCAGAATAAGACAATATGGACCAAGATAGTGAGCAAGGAGATCTCCATGTATTGTTTGGGTGGTTACTGATTTTTCATACTTTGCATGCATTATTTATGAACATGATGAGTACTGTAACTATTGTAAGTAATAGGATTATACAAGATCGTTCATACTCTCTTGATTTTAATACAAAGAGAAGGCATCTTAGGGAGTTGGTACATGGTAGTGACATGACTTGTTACAACCAAATTAGGATGTATAAATCTACATTTGATAAACTTTGTGGCATGCTAGATACAATAGGTGGCCTCAAACCAACTAGACAAATGTTAGTGGATGAACAAGTAGCTATGTTCTTACATATACTTGCTCATCATATTAAAAATAGAGTCATCCAATTTGAGTTTGAGAGGTCTAGGAAAACAATTAGCTGTTATTTTACCATAGTGCTAAAAGGCGTGATGTGCATCCAAGGAGAGCTTTTCAAAAAGCCAGAGCCAATTCTCGAAGATTCAAGGACTTGTACTACTACTTGGACATTCTACTTGATTTATTATACTACACTGTAATTACTCTTCAGCTGTAATTACTATCTTTCATCTCAGTCATTTTTTTACCATTTACATATAGTGGTCATAAAAAAGATGATTTAGTAAATTTCTCTTGATCATCACATCTACTTTCGGCTTTCACACGTACCATTTATTCCCTGCTTTATCTAAAGTCCTTATTGTAAACTTCCACCGAGCATCCTCTATCTACAGTGTCTACTTCCACTCCTCAATTTGACTTTCAATCTTGGTGAACTCAATTTACACTTGGCTGACGAATATAAAAAATGCATGAAAGGTGTCATTTTTTATGTGAAGTGCAATTCTGACTCCATAATGCACGTAGCAAAGGTTAGTTTGGATTGCGGTAAAAATGACACAGAATCCTCTAGAGATGGTTCCAAGAGCAGGCTAGGTTTATCTGTTTTAGTGACTCACGTGGCAGTTTACCTAACTCTCAAGCGTGTAGAATCACTTGTATCAACAGCAATATCCTTTCAAGCTCTACTTAAAAACCTATCTGGTTCAAAGAAAAAATTAAGTGAGAGCCATGGCCATACATCAAAATGTTCAGGAAAGGGAATTCAAGTGTTGAAAGTTAATTTTAAGTATTATTCAATTTATGTTTGTGGTGAGACAGGCTTAGAAAATACAAGTGTTTCAAATCCCAAGCAAGTTAATTATGGTTCATAGGGTGGTAGAGTCATAATCAGCATGTCAGCTGATGGTACCCCACGCAATGCACACAAAATGTCCACAATTGCAGGTGAATATCAGAAACTAGAGTTCTCTATTCCTCTAAGAATTGCAGAAAGATTTTCTCAACCTCACCAACCGAAAGAATTCTAGCTCTTAACTTTCCTTTCACAGTATTAGTTATCTCTGTTCCTAGTCTCACTACATGTTGAATTTTCTGCGGGTCCTTTCAGCATTGCTCATAAGTTTCCCTTTGAGAAGTAGCCATAGGTAAGAGAATTAAACAAACCGTAAGTATTTAGCTATAGAAATTTATAATTATTATATGCTTGAACAAGTTTCCGGCCGTAACTATAACAAACTTTAATTAATTATTAGCTTATTCAGCAAGAAATATCGATCAGAAGTTTGTTATATAAAGGACAATTAATGAACCAAAATCACACACAAATCAACAAGGTGAACCAATACGTAGCTGTTGTGAGCTTAATCAGTATATCATCCAAGCTTGCAATTTCACAAAGATTGATAATGGGTTATAAAGCGAAGAAGGATACAAGCTTTTAGTCCCTGATTCGTAGACTATTTTCAGTCAGTTTCTTCGCTGGAGACACCCAGATGAGTGATAAGGCAGTAGCATCGACAGCTATTAGACATGGACAAGGTTGAGAATGAAGATGAAGCATCTAGCTTGGTCACAAGAGGTTGGGGTCGAGGAGGAGTGAAGCACAGCCACTACGAGATGAGGTTTTTTTTAGCCATAAGAGTGAGGACCTTAACTCAAGGATTTGAAGCACAATGACAATGATGACAAAAGGAGGTCGAGGATCCAATAGTTGTGGACTCATGGAGGTGGACGATGGAGGAATTGGGTTCGATGGATGAGGACCAACTTGCTGAATGAACGACGACGATGAGGTGCGAAAGGAACGGCAATGGCGTGCTGGCCCTCAGTTGTCCTCACGAATTGGTAGCTTGGGCACATCTCTAGAAAAAGTTGAGAAGACTCATAGGCGTGTTCATTTGAGGTTAATTTGGTCTTTGTATATTTTTTTATTCTACAAAATGTTACGTTAATGTTCCATTCCCGCCTTCTTTAAAATTCATACCAAACATATTGATGGGTAAATATTATTGCATCGCATTGCATTACATTGGTAAAGAGATATTGAATTGAACCAAACGGGCTATTAGTCAAGTTGTCAACGCGCAAGATCTGAGACTTACAAATATTTTATGAAATTTATAAGATCTCTCGATAATAAATTTCTTTCTGCGACACTTGAATGTAATTTTTCCTTATTAAGATAGCTTTCCAAATTTGAGCCCATACAAAAGTGTAGCACCACTAACGGGTACGTAAAATTTAAACACCCTTATTAATTCATGGTTTTTTTTTTAATTCATTCATTTTCAAATTCTTTATTGTCACTATGCGAGCAATTGGCCTCATCACGCCAATGTGTCCCTTCTGGACGAAATCAGCAAACTTTCCGAGAAACTCAAAATTTCAATGAAAGACAATCAGGAAACTGCTAAACTTGATGGGATTGATTAACCAAGGGAAATTGAAATATGAACAGACACAGACCCTGGATACAACTCAAGTTGAATACATATATATCTATAACTACATATTGAACAACTAAACGATTAATCTTGCCCCCGTTTGTTATCCCATCTTCTATGCATAAATGCAGTTACCATAACCTGCAATTCCAACACAACAATTTAAAAAATTAAATTCCCATTCCACAAATATATTCATCAAGCTAATAGTCATTTAAACCCAAATCTGAGGACATGTGAAGGAGCAAATGACTCACTTGGATTAGTGATAACGATGAGGCCAGAGCCTCTGAAGTCACAATTCCAGTGGTTTCTTCCCTTGGACTGAAAGTAGAGGTTCATGGCTATGGAGGCATGGTTTATGAGATTATCAGGTGTGGAACAGGGACACCCTTTTTGCAGAATTCGGCAATCAACTTGAGAGCAAGCATAATTTATATTAGCTAGAAGAGTAGCTTGATCTGATGAAGGCTTTGCCACACACCAGCATCTCTGTTATTCCATCACATACACAATAAATGCAACAATCCTCAACTTCACTTATAACAGACTTTATGTTTTCTCAATAGAATCTAACTCTAATGGAATTATATTTACAATTGACTTAATCTGTTTAGCAGGTTCAGGTTTCATCTCATCATGGATTGAATCGGAAAAAGGACAGAGAAGAAGGGCCTTTGTTCAATGTGCATGTCTTGTCTCTACTCTCTCTCACTCTGTTCACTTGATCTTTCACAATTCGCATTACGAGATCCGAGACAAATCAAACTTAAAAATGTATCAATTTTTAGGCAATTTTGGATTTTAATTACAATTACTTACCTGACCATTGGCATTGACTGTCAACAGATTTCCTCCTGCAAATGTGAAAATAAAAATGAGAAACAAAAATCAGTTCATAGAAATGTACTCAGATAAGATGAATTCGCAGAAAGATTTAAGGACCACCGTAACTATCGAAAAAGCTAAAGGTCAGTTCTCTGTTTTTCCCCTGACTACACTCACACACACAACTTTTTATGGAAACAATGCTTTGATTCAGCTTTTACAACTAATTGCGATTTCTCATATAAACGCCGAATTTCAGGTAGGGATTTCAATTCTAGGATTATAATGTGTGTGAATTTATAAGATGCTTGCGTAGATCTGAAAACTAACACTAAATTAAAATCATTTTGAACAGTGAATCTTGTCGTCAACTGAAGCCAAAATAGTTTTTAGAAGATGGATGGAATCGCAAAACTGCAAGGTAAAAGGGGCAAAATTCTGGAGGGAAGTGGTCCAATTATTACGGGAAACACATCACAGACGCTCAATACACCAACTGATTTCGACGCCGACTACAGAAGAGTAAAGGTCCATGAAAAGCTAAGGGAATCAACGAAAAGAACCGAACCTGGAGTGAGAGATAAAAGCAGAAGGAAAAAGAGAACACACAGTTTAGCCATTGTTGCACAGAATCAACACCAAGTACTGATGCTGATAATGATGAAGATTTACTGATGCTGATAGTGATGAAGATATGATTAAAGAGGAGAATGATGAAGAGAGAGAAAGGGCTAATGACGAATTGAAGGGAAAAAGAGAGATAAGGAGGATTATAAAGGAACGGAAGAGGAGCTGATGGGGCCAACATAACGGCTACAATAAAAGCAAAAGAGAGACACAGAGACGTTAGAGGGGTATGGGATCTCGTGGAAGAAGAAGCAATAAACAAAACGTTACAGTGAAAAGATGGGGCTCGTGGGAGGAGGCGCGCACGTGATGTGACATGGCTATTAGTGACGGCGTCGTTTCCCTTCTCTCTTCCGTTCTCTTTTCCTATTTTTTCTTTTTTAAATATTTTTCGGCTAAGAGCTTCTCGTTTCCTGTAATCCTGTTGGATCGTCGCGGCATGGGAGAAATTCACACTTGTCGCAGATTGTACCTATTTATACATCAATCTAGAGGCTATTTGTTTAAAATTAAAAAATAAATTATTTTTAGATAATTTAAATATTTTATAAAAAAATTATTTTTTAAAATTTTATAAAAAAATATTATTTTATATCTAGTTACAATAATAGAAAATAATTATTAATTAATTATTTTCAAATTTTATAATATATTTTTATTTTTAATTTATAAAAATAATGTATTATTTAATTATTTTAAAATTTTATATAGCCCGTATTTTAAAAGCATTCTCTCATATTTATCACATGAAATTTAGAAATCTATTTTTTTATTCAGATTATTTTCAAATCATAAACAAGTATCATAAAAATTAACAAAATAATTTTTAAAAAATTTATTTGAAACAAATAGACCCTTAATTATTTTCATTTAAAATTAAAAATTTTTAAAATTTTAATAAAGGAATAGAAGTCTTTAATCATCAAATACATTTTTTTATACCTTTTTCTCAAAAAAAAAAAAGTTTCCAGTTGAAATGAAGAACATCAGTGTCAAATTGTTTCATATAATTAGTAATAAGTTGTAAAAGATGAGTGCTAAATACATATCAATTTATACAGTTAAATATTTTTTAAAAAAATATGTTAAAAGTTAGAATGTTAATTGCAAACTTTTTCATGTATCGTATTTAATGTTGGGAAGATCGGTGTAGAATTTTTATACATATATGTGTTCGTTTTTTTTTTTTTCAATTATTCATGTTAAAAGCTGAAACATTATTTGCAAATTTTGATGGGTGAATATGAATTTTCTTCCCCAATGTGTTAGTTAAACAAGTTTTTCTTTTTAAACTTTTCATGTTAAAAGTTGAAAAATCAGTTGCAGAAATTTCACTTTTTAATATTAAACTCAGAAATATTAAAAATATTTGTTTAACTAATACAGATAATTAGATGTAACCATGTAGGAATTAGACACTCCCTTTCCCCCACTTTGCTACTACTTACTCCTTTCCTCGGTTAAAAGAAAGGTCTATCACATCCTAAAAATTTAATTTAAAATTAATTAAGTTAATCAAGAGTAAATAAATAATTTTAAAAAAAAATAGATATAAATAATTTTACTTAAAGAATTATCATTAAATTTAATTTAAAATAAAATCTTAAGTTATGTTTTTTTAAATAAAAATAAAAATAATATGAAGAAGGATTATAAAATTAAAAAAATGAGGGGGGGGGGGGAGATGATTAGCGACGTCTGTGTAAGGCGTGGGTGCATATTGAAGAAAACAAGGGGGAGAGAAAGTGGTGTGAATTCTCTCACGTGCGACCCACACTTTTTTTAAAAAAACCAACCCACGCCTCTTGCTTTTTCATTTTCCTTCATTCTTTCTTCATTTCTTCATGCGCGCAGGGAGAAACGAGAGAGCATTACTCCGCCGGTGACAGGGGAGATGAGTTAAAAGATAAAGCTTCACAATAAAATATTTGAAATGAGATTTTAGATATTTTAAAATTATATAAATATTTTAAATATTTTTTTGTCATATTTTCTCTTTAGTGTCAGATTTTCAGATTACGCAAAATCTAAGGCTTGAAATAAGAAAGAATTTCTGATGAATTAATATAGTTATTGAGGTTGTTGGTAGTATAATAAATATTTTAAAATATTATTTTGTTAATAGAATTGGAATTTGAGGTTTTTGGGTTAATCCATAAACTCTTATGGTTAGATTTTTGGTAAATCTAAAATTATAAGTTGATTTATTAACTACTAGAGGATTATTTGGGAGTAAAAATATAATATTACACCTATAAAATGATGATTCTATACTTGAAACTGAGTTTGTAATTTTTAAATATTTTTTAGGTGCGAATTTTTGAAACTAAAAAGAAAAATTTTGATATTAGAAAATTGTTTGAAGAATAATTTTAACCGATCTTCAATAAAACTATTGTGAGGGAAGCTATTGAACCAAGTTGATATGTTTAAGTATATGAAATTGAATTTTAAAATTCAAAAAGCTAAGACTAGGGTCTTAAAAAAATAAAATAAAATAAATACCTAAATGTTGTAATATGAGTGAAAATTGTGTTAATAATATTATTAACACATTAAAATATGATTAATTGTAGATTAATTTTCTTTTGGCACCATTCAAGCTTTGGAAGTGTTGTAACTTGAGAGGTAATTTTTGACATCTCAAAAGTTAAGGTAATCAAGAAAAATTTATTTTATGCATTTGTATATTAATTAATTATTTGTGTTTGTGAAACAAATGAATATATATATATATATATATATATTTAAATTTTGAAATTGTTGTTTGTAATGCATATGTGACTTTGCTGAGATCATATGATTTTTGACAAAGTTAATCGTGGCACATGTAAGAATTTGAATATGATGGTTGTATGTAGAGAAAAAGAAATGAATAGGAAAGCTTGTTTGTAATGTGAATTGTTAATATTAATTTATACTTTCATGGGATAATGTGACATGATTTGAGTAATGAGATTGAGGGTTGATGATAATGTACATACTTTTGATTATAAATTGTGGATTGTACATAGTGATGAATTGTGTATGAGCATGTTGAGCTTTTATATATAATACTAATGTGATTTACATTGTAACATAGAAATTGATGCATGAGACATAGTTGGAATATGATGATTCTTGATGCTTGTTGAGCATGAAAATTGAGGAACATATGAGTGATTGTGAATTACATATATGAGTTATTGAAATGTATTTTCTCATGAGTATGACAATATGGTAGCAGTTTGCTTTAATGAAAGAGCTAATGGTGGTGCAAAATCTATATGATTTTTAGCTATCAATCGATAATCCCAAGGGTTATACTCACTACTTACTTTGTTAGATATCGTAGCCTTGTTCCTATTAAGGGGTTTAACCCTGTTGGCCTATCTGGAGTTTTAGGTAGAGCTACTTTTGAGTATGACATCCCATAGTGTGTGATTTAGAAGAAACTGTATTCATAAGCGAGTAAGGTAACCCTAACTTGGTAGCCCCTCACGATATGATTAAGGCCTTGTGTAGTCTCACCACATAAACAATCCCTTCCGGTTGTTAGCCTACAGATTTCATGTCAGAGAAAATAAGGGGATATAGGGAAGAGATTGATCATGCATTTTATTATTATTATTATTATGCCATTTGAGTAATCGATGGCTATATTTGAAACTATAATTGTAATTATGGAATTGAGAACATGTGGTAAATATGTGAATAATGTATACGTGGCCACTTGTGCCAATTTTATACAAACATTTAGTACTTGTAGGTAATCGTGTCAATTTTGTGCTTGACTTTATTTTTGAGATTATTCACATGAGTTAGATGTAAATGTGATTAGCATGATCTTGATACGATTGTTTACATGGTCATCTTGATGAATTTATTAGTCATTTGCATTCATGATTAATTATCATGCATTTGTATAATTTAGATATACCTTGATTACTGAGTAGTTGTACTCACTCTTCTATTTTAATATATTACAGGAGCTAGTTCATCTAGAAATAATAGAGGAAAAGAGCATCAGACCAAATAATAATAATAACTTCTGTAAGCCTTTTTTTTTTTATCTTGATATGTGTATTCAGTTTATAATATTACCAACTAGAACAATATATCATTAATCCACTTGCATCATGAGTTTTGTGTTGGGTAGAAGTGTATTTTGGGCCCTTAGAAATGTAGTTTGGTGCTTATATTAGTAGGCTAAAATACTTGTGTAAGTAGAAATAGTTATTATCTGCTTAATTTGAGAACTTAAATGTTGCTATAGTCTCCCTTTTGTTTTTGATGTCTAAGAGTGAGTAGTTGATATTAATTATATGTGAATAAAAATAAAAATTTATGCATATGGTGAGCTATTGATGAATAGATGATATATAGAACATGGTGATTAGGTGATAGTCACTGTGATAAATGCAATTGAGACATTGGCCCCTCGCCGCCAGTTATGGAAGGATTTAAGTAGTCAAGTATTATGCTGGTGAAGAGATATATTATGTGGAGTAGAGCACAGAAAGAAAATAAGGGAGAGTTTTTCTCCTATCTTGAGATGCGTTTCTTAATCATGCTTCCACACATGTTTAATTGAATAATGTGAGCTTTTAAAATATTTTAAAAATTTAGGATCCCTTTGTTTTAAATAGTTTGTGAAAATACATGTTAATGACTTGTTTAGGTTAATCTCTTTAGGATAACCCTTTTGTGTTAGTTATTGATTAACTATGGTTAATGTGATGATTTAATTCCTAATTTAGAGCACCTTTGTAGGGTTAGATGTTCAAAATTTTAATAAATTTGTAATATTTTAAGGTATAACTAATGTAATTTTTTCCAAAAATATACTTGATAAATAAAATATCTTATACTTATTTTTAAGTGAAACACCTTATTAAATAAGGATAAATATAGAAAGATGATGTTAGTTTAAAGATAGTCAACTATTTTATTGACATATGAGATTTGATTAAAAATACTTTATATTTTTTTAATGGAGGGAGCATATAATATTTTACAACTAATTTTTCAGCTTTTAAACATGAAACATTTTAAGGAGAAGAGTAATTAAGTAATTTTATTTTGTGCATCTAGTTACAGACAACTGTCCATCATTTATTGATTTTTTAGAATGTTTTAGTCAGAAATAATAATTAAATTAGTGTATTAGTACCAAAGTATGACTTTCACCTATGCTATACGATGCTATATTATATTGAAAGTTGTAAATAGTGCCTTGTCCTACGCTAGTGAACCTAGTGATTTGAGTTGGGGGTATTCCGCATTCATGAAGCTCGGTTGCTCAGTGTGCCCGCCCAAACCTGGTGCAATTTTGCTTAGCCCTGCTTAAAAACAAGCAGCCCGACAAGTTTTGAGCATGTTTGAACCGGGCTGACTTGCAGGCAGGGCCGGGCGATGGGCCAAATATGCTGATCTATCCATTTGGCCCAATCTTAACAATTTAACTTTTACATTTTTTGTTTAATTTTTAGTGACGCACTGCTTGAGGGAGGGATGGTAACAGAATAAAGTGAAAATGAGGGTTAGATTTTTTGGAGTCCCATTTTCGAACCCTAGCGACCGTCACTCACTCTCCGATCTCCATCTCCACTCTCCCCTCTCGGTTGCTTTCGCTGACCTTCATCTCTGCGAGACTGCGACTGCGACTGCCTCTCACTCAGAAGTGTCTTCATCCATCTTCAGCGATTGCGACTGCAACCTTCATCTTCGCGAGACCTTGACTGTGACGAGCAAAGCGTGCGACTGAGACGAGTAGTGCTTTGCTCTGTAAGACTGTGACTTCCACCTCCATTTCTCTTTCTTAACAACTTTGACCTGCTTCTCTGCTTCCCAGTAAGTCCATCTCTCTCTTGTTCGCATTTTATTATTCATAGTTCCATGTTGTTTGTTCATAGTCTCTAACTCTGTTTATACTTCATAGTCTCTGTGTTCATAATCCATTTCTCTCTTTAGATCCCTGAAGGCTCCTTCTCAGTTCGTGTCTGTGGAGTTTTTTTTTTCCCTTCGTTTTTTTGGTTAGCCATTGACACTAAGTCACTAATATGATATGCTATTCTTGTGCTTTCTGTAATATGCTATTTTAATTCTTAGATATGTATATATATGTTAATAAGTTATGTTTAGAATCTTGTGGGGGTTAGGTTGGATTAACCATTTTTCACTAATTTAGAATATGGTAAAAAAGGAGATGAGGGGACAATGATTGATGAATTGCTATAGAAGCCAATATGCTGATAAAACTATAATCTGGCTATTCATTCTCTACAAGAGCTTTGATATATTATAGCAGAGAAGCATTTTCAGAATTGAAGAATTATGAGAGGAGGATTGGACAACCTTCTAAAAGGAAAATAAAAACTAAAAAGGAGAAAGAAATAAGTAAAAGAGGAAAATATGTTTTGATTATGCTATTTTGGATTGTGGATTATAGTTTTGATGAACTATGGATGTTATTTTGGATTATGATGTGGATTGATGGAGTAGGGATGTTATTTTAGGTTAAATTATTATATATATTTGCTTCTTAAAATGTTGTTTATTAGGTTTGATCAAGTGAAGTTTTTTATACAAATGATAGGTGGGCGCTAACTCTTGGGCAGGGCAACCTGAAGGGGCCCATCACGCCCAGCCCAACCAGAAATGTTAGGACTTCTCATGGTAGGGCTGGGTAGCGGGCTGCAATTCAGGTTGGGCATCAGGTAGGGCCCTGCTTGATGCCCAACCCAGCCTTGCCCATGTGCAACCTGTTTTGAGCTAAGTTTGATGGCTAGCCCAATAAATCTCAAAGTTGAGTTTGAGAGTTAAGAATTTTTTTTTTTTACTTTGAGCTTATTCAAATAATCAGAATAAGCCTGAATCTGAATGGATTTAGTCCAAATATCCAAATTCTTGTTTTATCATTAACAAAATGAAATTAACTTTCATTTCAACTCTCACTTGGCATTCACAAACTTTTTCCTAAACTTTTAGTTCACATATTTTGTACTTTTAAATGAAATTTTAATGTTTTAATAATTATTTTTTAATATTTTTTGAAAACATTAAGGAAAAATAAGCAGAGGTTACTTTATAAACTTTAATTTTTACTCTTTAAATGCTTGGTCTCCCTTTAATGAAGATAGGAAAAGAAAAAGTGTATTGTAGTGTTATATTACTTGAAAAATTTAATTTTTTAATATAAAAATTGACATTAACCAAAAAATAATATTTAATATGTGGATTAACTTGAAAAATCAAGGTATTAAGACCAGATTTAGTTATATGAGTTTTTTATATATTCAAGTATTTTAAACTTAACCTGAATAAATCCAATCATTTTGAATTACCCGCTTTATGCGCTAAGTTAGATAGAAGAAGGCAAAAAATTGAATCGTTTGATTTGGATCACAATAATTAAAAAAAAAAACTTAAAAAGAGATCATCAATTACCAATTTGAGCTAATTTTAGAGAAACAAAACCAAGTGATGTTGAGAGAAGAAATAAAAGAACATGACTTCCTACCATGATGTAATTATCCGCTTTGAAAACGTTCAGTTTCACATCACTAAATTATCTATTAAAAACAAGCTAAAATATATATAACTCTCCTGAATTTTAAACCATTGCATTTAATCCCTTCAGCTTTAAAAATATAAAATTGACACCCTAAAACATTTATCATTAATTTTTTACAGTTAAAAAAAAAAACTACTAGATCTAATGGAAAGTGCCACCTCAGGTCAAATAAAAACACTTAGTCAAATAACATGGAATTTTAATTTCAATATTCTTATCCCTTCATCAAACACATAGATCCATTTAAGGTCACTTTTGTCAGCCTATAACAATTGCTAGTTGATCCTTTTCATTCTCACATTGTCAACGTGCGTACGGAAATTTCGCAAAAGAAAACAGAGTATCTGCAACAATTTTGCAGATTGTGATTTTTTTTTTCATACCAATTTGAATCAAAATTATTTTCTTGACAAAAACTTGTATCACATATTTCTTTTCAAGAACGTTTCTACAGAAATAGTCTTTATACAGCATTTCTTTCTTGACTTCACTTCTAAAATATGCTTGTCACAAAAACATAGCATACACTCTTACTTCCCTTGTATTTTTACTGCTTCAAATGTTATTATGAATATTCACGTGCAATCTGTGTGTTGAAACACAAAGTAAGTTGAAATTTGCAAATTTTTGTCTTCTAGTCAAAGCAAAAGATATAATAAGATGAAACAAGTAGAGACTACTCTGTTTCAACTCTCAGAGTTGAGGATATTTCATGGCTAGGAGGGCTTTTTGCTGTTACAGGTAGCTGAATTAGCTTTTTGGATTTGTGTTTTCCTTTTGCGTTTTTTTTTCCTGTTTGTTCAATGTTTTAGTTTTTCCTCTTATTAAAAAAAGAATTAAGTATAAACTACTGAAAATAATAAGTTTAAAATAAAATTACGCCAATATGCTTTTCAATGTTAATGTGCTTTTATGTTTTATCATTAACATAGCTTAGAGGTTCATCATGGCTTTTATGTTAAGGTGCTTTTATTGTTAAAATGATTTTTTCATAATTTATGCCAGCCATTGAAAATGCCAACAATAAGCTTGGGGGTTCATCATGAAGGGGAATTTATTTGTATACCACATTTGGTCCATATGAGGGGGGACATTGCAGTGTATGAAAATTTTGATATAGACTTACTCAGTTTTTTTTTTAGATAACACGTTTATTGGGAAGTCTGGGAAATGAAAACTTCTCCAATATTTGGTATAAGTTTGGAGATGAAGACATGACAAAAAATGCTTCCTCCTAAAGAAGATAATGATATAAAGAAAATATTTAAACTTTTATTTCATGATATAACGATAATGATATAATGACATGACAAAAGCTTCTCAAACATCATAGCTATTGAAAAGCAACATCAACAGAATGAATATAAAGTTAGAAATAGACCAAATCATAGCCAAAAGGAACTTTCATTTCAACTCAATTGATGTTCTCATTACAATAAATTGATAAATCAACAGTTTAACATAATTACATGTCTATGATAAGATATATTAGATTTATCATTTTCAAGCACTTGTAAATAGTTGCTTTTTGTTTTTTTTTTAACCAGCACTTGTAAATAGTAGCCTGGAGGATGGTTCAACTTCAGAGAACATGTAGCATTGCTCTAAGTGAATGTGGCCACAAGATTGCCACATCAATTAATTTGCATCCTTATAGTTGAATATTGAATATTAGCTTTATATTTCTTCCTAGTTTGTAAGCCTGTAAGCTTTCCTTGTAATCTTTGCATAACAACTGAAGACACTTGAGCTTTTATAAATCCGGTGCTTCCAAAGAGATTTTCTGTGAAACCTGGAACTTTAAACATGAATATCTTCATAAAAAGTTTGCAAGAAATATAATAGATTAAAAGGAAAAAAAAAAGCAATATAAATGTACTTTTTTAAAACTAGAAATATCAAAATATCATTGAAAAAGGGAAAATTGTAAAGCACAAGCGAAAATAGAGAGAGCCATAAGCTAAAGGTAGAGGCATATAAAAAACAAGAAGTTGAAGAGAAAGATAAAAAAAAAAAAAAAACTATTAGCCAATCCCTCCTCCCATCAACTTCAAAGGGTGATCGCTAGGTGGCGACATTCATAATGACGACATTCACAAAGATGTACGCTATTTGAAGAAATGAAGAACCCCTGAGGAACAAGGTTAAAAAGATGCCAAGGAAAGAAATCTAACTAAAGCACAGGAATAGTTTCGTAGTAATTAGATGATAGTATTGAAAAATGAAATTAGGGATTCTTATGACCAAATGACAAAATCACCCTCCTTTAATTTAATATAAAAATAAAATATTCAAAATTTCATTTCACTTGCTGATGTGTTCTATTTAATTAATGGGTTAAGGTTTAATTGTGTGCCTGTACTTATTTTTTATGAGCTCTGAGCACCATACACTTTTAAGTGGGTAATTTTACCCTTAAATTATTTTTCGAAGGAACAAAAACTCCTTTCTATTAATCAATTATTAATTTTTTTCGTTTTTTGTTGACATGGCATGCGCGTGAGGCTCATGCACAATGACATGAAAGATGTGGCATGTTTTTTTATGCTAATTTGCCATTGAACTCTTTTTTTAAGAGCATTAAGTATCCTAAAGTTTTTTTCTTGAAGCGATGGGTACCTTAAAATTTTGTTAAAATAAAATTGAATAAATATTGTTAAAATATTAAGTATTTTAATATTTAATAATTTAAATATTATTCCCTCTATTTAAAAATGTAAGGCATTTTTAATCGAATCTTACTTCCTAATAAAGTAGTTATCTATTTTCAAACTAACTCTATATTTCATATTTATCTCTATTAAATACCTTACAATTAATATAAAGTCATTATTAATAGTGACATTTTTTAAAAAAGGTAATGATTACATCTTAAAAAATTAAAAATGTCTTACATTTTTTAATATTCAAATCCTCAAAAAATGTTTTACGAACAGAGGGAGTATCATTTAAAACATTACACCACCCAATTTAATTTTTTTATATTTAAATATTATTTTTGCTTGCATTATATAAATTTATAGATGACTTTTTATTTTTTATATATTGATCTTCGATCTTCTTTTTGATACAGTGTCCTAATCGTTATGCTTTTTGTACGTGTTGGAACTTATATTTTTACTATTGGTTAAGTTTGTTAATTTTTTTGGTCAATTAATGAGCTTCCTCTAAATTATTACATCACCTAAATTTAATGTTCTTTGTATGTTGCAGTGTTAATAGTAATATCATAAACATGACAAATTTGGACTAATAATATGACAACAAAAATATTTATTTAAAAGATATCGTTTATTCCATTAATATGCTACAAAAAAAGTTACTTAATGAGAAAAAAATGAAGAGATTAGAATAAAAAATTTCTTCATTAACTTGAAAGTTCATTCACTTCATTTTTAATATAAAACTACAAAATTTAAAATGTTAAATTGGGTGGTGTAATATTTTAAATAATAATATTTAAATTATTAAATATTAAAATACTTAATATTTTAATAATATTTATTACATTTTATTTTAACAAGAGTTTAGGATGCCTAACATTTCGAGAAAAAGATTTTAGGGTATTTAGCGCTTCGAAAAACGAAGTTTAGGGACAAATTAGCACCAAAGGACATAGTTAAAGTTTTACATGTCACTGTGCGTGGGTTTCATGCACATGACACGTCAGCAACAAACAAAAAAATTAACAGTTGATTAACGGAAGGGGGTTTTTGTTCCGTTGAAAAATAATTTAAGGATAAAATTGCCTTACTTAAAAGTATAGGGTGCTCAACGCTTTTAAAAAATAAATATAGTGGCAAAATTAAACTTTAACCCAAAATTAATCAACAAAATTAAAAGTTCAAGGTGTTATTTTTATATTTTTAAAATTTAAAAGGTTATATGCGATTGATTTAAAATTTAAAAGAATTATATGTAATTTAACCTTAAAAATATAAACATAGGATTTTTCAATCACATCTGTGCCTTAGTATTTCATATTTGAGTAGGATAAAAAATGGTTTTTGGAGACCTACTTTAATTGAGAGAGCATAATACCAAAATAATTTTGAAAAAAAAAATCACCAAGGTTATTTTTAGTCATGTCATGTTGGGCCAAATATTGGGCTTATCGTGAGCTATATGAAATGTCCATTCAAATCATTCTGAGTACAAAGCCTACATACGCTCATGATTGGCTTAATGATAATCTCCTATGCGTCTTATGTTTGTATACTACCAAAGATCAAGTTATTCAATCAAGTCTTGAGATTATATTTTTTTAATAAGAAATTATCTTCAACTAATAGTGATAACTCATTATTTAATTGAAAATTTTTAAAAATTTAAAATTAACTACCAAATTTGAGCCTTCTGCTTCATGTTTTTTTGGATAGTGCAAGTAGAATAATTGATTCCTTGAGTTTCTCCAGGACCCAAAAAAATAAGTTAATGGGAACAAAACAATACATATTATTTTAAAAAAAAATATAAATATCTGTAATTAAAAAATATTAAAATTAAATAGTTTCATGAGATTACAAAATTAAAGAAAATATCATTATTATTTCTTAAATACCATAATTTTAGTGATGATGCTTTATTTTACCAGCCAAGTAAATGTTAAAATATATACCGTAAATGTGTGCGTGCGTGCGTGATTTATTAGGGAACTTATATGAAGTTTTCTTCTTCTCCCACTGTCTTTAATATAGATTTTTCAGAGTTGGCTTTTCTCCTCTGCAATGAAGAAATATTGTAGATCTGGTTGTTAAATTGAATTTGATAATTTAGATTTGATAATTTTTAAAAGCACATATTTAATTTAAACGGTTTAGATTTATTGTGGAGGAACAATAGAGGGAAAACTTAATGGAGAGAAACTTAGCCCAGATTTCTCTATAGCATGTTGAACCTCACACTATTGCGATATCTCTAAAACTGACTGTATTTTTGTATATGCATTGGTCTATATTTAAAAATTAATTTTTATTTTTCTAAGCGTGGGACAAAAGCTTGACCAAGTCATTTCTCATTTTAAGCTTTTCACCTCCCTTATCTTTTCTCTTGTAGTAGATGTTAAACTTGAATAGTACATTTTTCATTTATTTTTTTAGCTAATTCATGTTTGCCTTCTTTTCTTTTTTCTTTTTAAACAAAGCATATAACTAGGCCCAATCAAATATGCCCAGTATAATTGATTCATTTAAGTTATGTTGGGATATGTTTTTGATGTTATCTAATGAGAATATAATAAATAGATTGCAAAAATTTTTTATCTTTGTTATTGAAGATTATTTTTAATTTTTTTATTGATGTACCATATATTTTTAAATAAGATCCTATAGAAAATAAGTAAAGTAGACCTTTAATTTATCCTGGTTCGGATTGACATATCCTACGTCCAGTTTCCAAGCACAAAGCAAGGGATTTTTTTTTTTATATATAATGGTCAATCGCTAAAGGAGACAGAGAAACTTCAAATATAAGCTTAACTTTGCTACTTTTACTTATCTATTCCTATGAACCATTATTACTTGGATTACAAATTATAAACTATAAAAGATGATCCTATGAATTATCAAAGAAATATAAAAATAAAAGATGATCCTATGCCAAATCATTTAAGAAGCTACAGAACCTGCAAGAAACATAAAGTAGCACGTTAAGCATTTTGAAACTATAATTACTTGAATTTTGTTATTTTAGCTTATTCATTAGTAGTCAAAACTCAAATGGCAAAAATAAAAGTGATTAAAAACAGACCTATAGTTTTAATGGTTTCTCTCTTGACCAATTCAAATTCTTTTATTTTACTGTCACATAGTTATTATAAACATGAGCTGAAATATAAAATAAGAGTAAGAGTAAGAGGAAAAAATTGTTACCATCTTGCAAGTACTTGCTAATTAATTCCTAGCGTGGTATCTTGTCACATAGATGATGATCATGACGTGGATTCTATTTGTTACATCGTTCACAAACCTGTAGTAGGTTTGTCTCCAAGAACGATTGAAGAGCAATGGTCCCATAAAGGCCCAAAATCCAATGGCAAATCCAATTCCCAAGCTTAGGTAAAATTGTTGAGAGAAAAGTGAGTCACCATCATCTTCAGGATGATCAAATATTTGAGGCGAAGGCATTGAATCTTCTAAGCACTTTTTGTTAAGTGGCATTCCACAAAGATCAAGATTTCGTTCGTAACATGATGCATTAAAGCCTTGCAATTGTGTTCCAGTGGGGATTTTTCCAAAGAGATTATTATTTGACAAGTCTAATACACTGAGGCGATCAATATGAGCAAGACTTAGAGGAATTGTGCCTGACAATTTATTTCTTGACAAATCTAGGAATTCTAGATATTCTAGATTCCCAATCTCAATTGGGATTTTCCCTTTCAATTTGTTTCTTGATAAATTCAAAGAAACTAATCCTAATAAATACACAACTTCTTTCGGTATTTCACCTGTGAAAGCATTGCTAGATAGATCAATGCTCTTGAGAAGGACATCCGGCTTCTTGAATGACATATCTTCACCCTTCCACATCAATGTTATGTAGAATTCAAATTTATCAACAGAAAATCCGAATCGTGTGGTATTGATCCTATACATATGGTAACTTGATTTTGTTGAATTGATGTGCTGTTGTGCCATAACAGTAAAATTATGAAGACAAGATGGAATTTTATTGGACAAGTTATTGCAAGATAAATCCAAGAGTCCAATCTGTGTTAAGTGACAAAGATTCAACGGCAAGCTACCATAAAAATTATTCTTCCGTAAGCTTAGAATTTGCAATTCTCCAAGGCTTTTCCCAATCCATGAAGGTATAAGCCCCAATAGTTTATTCTCTGACATGTCTAACAATAATAAGTTGGTGCAGCTCATCAAAGAGGAAGGAAGTTCTCCAATTAAGCGATTATTTTTTAGAATCAAAGCTTCCATATTCACAAGGTCACCTATAGAGTGTGGGATCTCTCCTGATAGATTATTATTGCTCAAATCAACAAACTTTAATGAGTTTAAGTGGCTCCAACAATTTGGTAGATGACCCTTTAATTGATTGTCAGATGCATCGAAAATACTAAAGCTTTTGCCATCAGTTTGGCCACATAGAAGTGGAACCAGATTTGAGAATTTATTTTTGGAAAGCTCAAGTCTTGTTGCTTGTATAAAAAATGATGGAATTGAGCCTTCAAAATTGTTTGAAGTCAAAATTATCATTGGCCTATTATAAAACTTGAGTGGTAGATTTGGAATTTCACCAAAAAAATTATTATATGAGATGTTCAGGTGATATACATATTTCATTAGTGGCCAAAACCACTCTGGTATAAAACCCAAAAGACCACCATTAGAAATATCCAAAGTCATTAATTGATATTGATTTCGAATCCAATTTGGAAAATCAGGACCTACTTCACAAGAAGCCATTCCCAAACTTTGCAATTGAAATGGAGGAACCCAACTATTGTTAATTTCCAGGGTCAATGAATTGTCAGACAATGACAAATACATCAAATTGGAGAGATTTTTGAAATGAGATTCAAGTATTTTCCCCTTCAGGTTGTTATCAGACAAATCCATATATTGCAATGAGAGGAAAACTGAAAGATTAGGTAATATGCCTGTCAATTGATTGCTTGATAATGACAACTGTTTCAATGAGTGTCCATTGCACCATGAAGCATTAGAAACAAAACTCAAAAGCTCCCCACTCAAGTCATTGAAGGAAAGTTCTAGCTCCTCCAATGTGCATATATTCGCCAATGATGGTGGGATTTCACCTTGGAGTCTATTACTGTCGAGACTAAGAACTTTAAGAGAGCTCATTATGTTTCCAAAACTATCTGGAATTGGACCTCGAAGCAAGTTATCATTGAGGTACAATTTATGAAGATTGAAGGTGAAGTTGGAAATCCAGTGGAATATGGTTGATGATGTAAGATGATTGGAAAATAGATCAAGATAGACAAGAGAAGTAAGATTGGGATTGGATGATGTAAAAATAAGATTATTTGATGAAAGGCTGCAATTGAATAAATAAAGAGCTTGAAGGTTAGAGCCAAAATTTAAAGCCCTTAATGACATCAAGTTATTATAGGAGAGATCAAGATCAATAAGGCTGGGAAAATGAAAGTGAGAAGATAGAAAGTGAATATCATTAGCTGAAAGACTGCAATTACTTAGATGAAGCTTTGAAGGCTAGAGCTTAGATTGAAGTTCCAATGAGATAATGATGAGTTCAAGTTATTATAAGAGAGATCAAGAACAAGGAGGGAAGGAAAATGAAAGTGAGAAAATAGAGAGTGAATATCATTAGCTAAGAGACCGCGATCACTTAGATAAAGCTCTTGAAGGCTAGAGGTGAGATTGAAGTTCCAATGAGATAATGATGAGTTCAAATTGTTAGAAGAGAGATCAAGAACAAGGAGGGAAGGAAAATGAAAGTGAGAAAATAGAAAGTGGATATCATTAGCTGAAAGATTGCAATCACTTAGATAAAGCACTTGAAGGCTAGAGGTGAGATTGAAGTGCCAATGAGATAATGATGAGTTCAAGTTATGGGCATAAGAAAGGCCACATCCTATCAATTTTAATTTTTTTAGTTTTGGGAGTTTACCTATCATCTGCACCCAGAGATGAGGATAGACAGCGTCACACACATAAGTCAAGTCAAGTTTTGTTAATGAAGAGAGCTTTAATAACCACTCCATATTATGATTTTTTTGGTCAACTATTGTGAGATCATTGTAGTAACTACCAAGCTCCAGAGTGTGCAACATGGAGAGATTTCCAATTTGATAAGGAATCACTCTAACAAGATAGTTTCCTCCAAGATTCAAACATTGCAACTTTGAAAGGTTTCCAATTTGCCAAGGGATAGCTCCATCCAAGTTATTGTTACCCAAATCAATAGAGAGTAAATTTGAAAGCTTTCCCAATTGATAAGGAATACTCCCAATAAACAAAGAAAGAGAGAGGTTAAGGTACCTTAAGTTGGTGAATGACTCTATAGACTCAGGGATCTCACTTGGAAAAAAATAGTTGTTACTGAGATCTAAATGTTCAAGATCTTGCAACTCCCTCAATAAAGTAATATTGAGTCTACCTCTCAAATAAACTGATGATGAATCAACGCCACCACGAAGGTCAAGGATTTGAATGCGACCTGTTTCCTTGCTGCAGCGAACTCCTCTCCAGTTGCAACAATCCTCATCTTCTTCATTGGTCCACGTGGATAACATACCAGCAGAGTCACTATGGATGCCCCGTCTAAAGAGGAGCAAAGCTTTTCTCTCCTTCTCAATGCAGTACTTTACTCCTTTCCCATTAGTGACCATGCCGAATGTTGAATGCAACAAAAACAATGCTGTCGCCAATAATCCGCAGAGAAATTTCAACAAAGAGCCCATCATAAAGATGAAAAATCTTCCAAAAGTAAAACAACAAGAGAGAATTATAAGACACAAGTGTCTGATAATTGTGTTTTCTTTCTAGTTATTTTGTTCAGCTCATGAGATGTGAGGCATGAGAATTGCATGGTAGGATTATATATAGACTTCATTGTGGGCCTATGCTTCATGGATGGCTTGTAGACTTCTGGGAAGAGGAGCAAAACACTTTATTTCATTGACTTTCGTCTTTTAAATAAAAACATTTTATTTCTTTTTTTGACAATTAATACGGAACAAAACAATTTCACCAGGCCCCAAAAAAGGCTAATTAAGGAAAGGCAATAGTAGTTAGGAATACATGTACATGCATTTAATTAAGGGAGAATTACATTTAAGTATTCCTTAAAAAATTATTCATAAATAAAGATCAATATGAAATGGATTATTGTTAACATGTAATGGATTGTTTAAATAAATTAGCTGGGCAGAGGATACATATGCAGATGCATGACTCAGTCAAATGCATGGGAAGCTGCCAATCAGCGAGGAGACTGGTAGTTTTGTGGGGGAGATTAGAGAGCGCCATCCATTCATACATTCAGAAATATATATTTTTGCAACTATCTTAACTTATATTTTAATCTTTATAAATTAGTTATCTAATTTCTATATTTAGTACTAGAAGGAGTATTTCAAGTGCTAACTACTCTCTATTGTCCTTTTTATAAAGTCCTATATTTTCTAATTAGTATATATATTGGATTGTTGAGATAAAAGAAAATTCTGTACAAATGTTAAATATTTAATTTATAATTAAAGATCAATGATATTGACTTGTTGTAGAAATAAAAGATTAATATAACTTATAAGTAACAAGAAAAAAGAGTACTCTACTGTTGTCGGACTTAACGATATTGAGAAATTTGTTAGATTGTTTGCTTTCGTGAAATTTTATTTTGTTCGCACAATTCTTTTCTAAAACATATCTTTCATACACATACACACAAATGTTTCGCATGATCAATTTTTTACATTGACATAAAAACTAGAGAATCAAGCTAACTTTACATTATAGTGTATATTTGGATACATAAAATAATGAATTATTAGAGGTTAAAACCATAGTTAAATATATCTAAAAATCTCTATTATATGCCAAATTAAATTATGAAGCCAAAATATTGTTTTTCTTAAAAATATTTGGACATTCCTATTATATGCTAAAATCAATTATGAACTTAAAACCGTAACTTTTTTAAAAATATTCAAACACGCATATACATGTCAAAATCAATTATGAAGACAAGATCATGATTTGTGAAATAATTTATATGGTTTTTCATAAATTTTTAGGAAAGTATAATTTTTTTGGACCATGTAAGAATGTATAATTGAGATGCTGAATTGAAAAGTAGGTAATATATAGTAATTTATAAGGTAATTTTTGTTTTGAATTCACAATTGTTTTAATTCAGCATATATATGAGTGTTTAGATATTTTATAAGAAAATTATAGTTTTAAGTTCATAATTGATTTTAATATATAATAAAGATGCTTGGATATTTTTAAGAAAATTACAATTTAGAGTTTATAATTGATTTTAATATACACAAGAGAAGCGTTTGGATGTTTTCCACAAAATCATGATTTTATTTTCAATTTTTCTTTTCAATTATACTTAAAATTAATTTTATAAATCAATTATATCATCTATCATGATCAATTATATTTAAAATTGATCATATTAATTTTTAGGATAATAGAGAAAATTAACTCCTAAATTATATGTGCAAGATCATCTGAACCTTAAACTCATTTTTTATACAAATATTCTCCTTCAAATTTTGAAAATAATACAATCCAAAAAATTATAGAAAATGACAAAAAAATTACAGCAAATGATTCAAGAATTACAAACAAGGACTCAAAAAATTACAAAAAAGATCCAAGAAAATTTTATTGTTCCCTTTTAGTAATTTTTGATATCTTTTTCTATCATTTTCTAGTCAGCTAATTATTAAAGTTAACTTATATTAACTATAAGGGTTCGATTGTACTATTTTTAAAAGTTGAAGGGGATTATTTGTATCAAAAATAAGTTTAAGACCACAAATGGCATAAATTTATGGTCAGTTTGTTCTTTTATTCTAATTATTATTCAAACGAACTCTTGTGATGCACACACCAAACTATAATTAAAAAGAAAAATATATTAATTATTTGTGTACCATCAACGACAAATCAAACTTCACGGTTAAACTATCTTTCACACATAAATTTCCAAGGCAATCTATTGAGGACCCATTAAAAGACTTGAATTTTGATTGAAAAATTCTGAAAAAGTGTTATCAAGTTTACAGTTATAGAGAAAAATAATTTAAAAACGTTTTTAAAAAAAACTCGACTGTAACTTTTTTTGTAATGTAATATTATTTCTGAAAAAAAAAAATTCCTCTCCGCTAATGAGACCGCGTCATTGTGCTTGATGTCAACGGTACCACGCTCTCCAACTTTAAATCCTCAAGTCACGTTCTCACTAACCCTCCAACAACAGACCCATGTGAGTATTAATTGGTGCGTGTGTTTATTTTTAAAGAATGAAACATAAATATTTATTTCATTTAAATTATTATTAATTAGTTTATAATTTTAAAAAAAATTAGATTAAATTCTAATTTTTTTAAAAATATATATTTTTCTAATCACACTCTTTAATGGAATAAAATAATATTTAATTTATTCAAAATGCCCTTATTAATTACTTGAGTGGAATATAATAAAATAATATTATATTTGAATACATATATATACATAACTTAATTTTTTATATTTTGAACCAAGTAAAATTTTTTAAAAAAACACCTTTTATTATGATAAGGAGAGAATACATCATAAATAGGTCAATAATAAAATAGTAATACGTGTAGAAGTGGGTCATACATATGAAAATGAGGATAAGGCATGACAACTTTCTGAGGTAATGAACTTTATATTTTCTCTAATTAAGGTAAAATATGTTAAAAATAATTTATAAATATGATTGAAAAGAGTAATACTTCTAGAGATCAAATATAATAAAATAAAAGATTAGGTGTGAAAAAAATTAATCACTCTAATTTTACCTTATATTAAGGATTATAAAAAATTTCAAAGTTTGGCTAGAGAGAGTATTCTTATCAATTTATTACCCAATTTGTGTCTGGCCCTGTTTTTTTAATATTTATTATTAAGTTCTTTTAAGAAAAATACATTTATAAATGACCTGTTGATTTTTTTTAATATATGGGTGTGAGTGATTTTAAAATTCTTATTATAATTTTAATTACTCTCTTAAATGAATTTAAGTTAATTATTAAAAAACAATCTATCATTTATGTCACACAAGGAATTTTTTTGGCCAATTAAGTCATGCAAGGATAATGTATAATTTGAACCAATAAATAAATAAATACTCTAAAAAATGATTAATATGAGTAATAATTTTAAATATGAGTAATATAAAAAAAATTAATACTTTATCA